ATTCAGAAGGCCTTTTCCCATGAAATAAAAAAAAGTTAGGGTTCAAAGGAAAAGAGCAACTCACAATAACTGCAGCTGACGAGCTCAGATTTATTCCAACTTTACAGCCACCCAGAAAAGGAAAGTCAGCAAAGCTGTGTTTATCTTCCTGCTTCAAAAATGTCTTCAACACAAACATCCTGTGTTTCTCACACATTTTACAATAAATCCACAAGAAAAAAGACGGCTAATGAGCTACCAGGGGACAGCTGAGGGTGTGGACATCCCCGTGTCTTATTACCCTGGCACACAGCGGCCAGCCGTGGGCTGTCAAACACCCGTCTACACCCATCAGTCCTAACATTAACAGCTGAGTTGCCTAATTGAGTTTTGGCTTCCGTGGGCTGGAGAGAGTCCGTGGACTCACACTGAGAAATGATCGTCCTAATTGGATTTTCACTTCGGGCCAAACACTAAACTTTTACCTCCAGAGTTGAGGTCGCCAAGGGAGAGTCGTGAGCAGCCAATCACAAAGCTCAAACACCTAAACACTGCGTTGTTAGCTAAAAGTTAATTCATGCAGTTTTAAGAGTGTCAAAAGACATTTTTAGTCAAATTCTTTTCTTCAGGGTGGGGTGTGTAGGGGGGGGGGTCCCTGCCTCATCTCTCCCATTCCTGTGGCTGTCAACACGAACACCTCAGTCTGTGGCCAGAGTCAGACCTTTCCTCTGGACCTGCTGAATGGATTTGTCCCGCGGCTGCAGCCACTTGTCGCCTGTTTGAAACTCTTCCCCTCAGCTGCTCTTTTAATCTGGGACATTTCAGGCTGTTTTTCCCGTTTCTCCAAAAGTTTTTCCATTGTCTTGTTACATAAGAGAAACATTAAAAGCGACGAAAAGTGGAAGACGTTCTTCTGGAGTTAGGAACTCTGCAGACGTTCCAGTCCATTTCTGCTCTCTGTTCTCTCTGACGTACTGCTAAATCTGTACTTTATTGTCATGATTCTTATGATTGAAGTTTTTTGGCAGAGTCCATGACAATATTCCACCTTTAAAACTTCACTGCTGGACTTTTTCCCTCCATTGTATGTGTTATTTTAGGTTCTTCAGTTCAAGTCTGTTTTTGTCAGTTTTCCTACTTTCTGCAGAACAATTTTGTGTGAGTCCCAAAGTGTTTGTCAGTTCAGTTCCAAACTGAAGAAGCTATTTTTAGGACTTCATGATTTTAAAAGCTAAAATTAAGCCATTAAAAAAAAAAAATTACAGTGAGGTCCTGGATGTAGTTTAGTTTTCTGTTTGACATTTTACAAACATTCTCAAAGGAATTTATTTGTTAAACAGGTCAAATATTTATCTTGCTGCATGTTTCTTTTCTACATATATTCCACTGTATGCCCCCCCCCCCGACAGATGACTTCTGATGTCAGCTGATGGGGGGGGCAAAGACAGAGAAAGACACAGAGAGAGAGAGAGGAACTACCAGCATGGAATCCATCTCCTTAAATCACAGAATCATTCATGTGCAGTTACACAGCTGCACATGCCGACGGGTTCTTCATCCCATCCATCACTTGTATTAGAATCTACTTGGTCTGTATCTGTAATTACAGCTCGTTACTTTTTAATTTAAGGAGCTGGAATGGCACTGAAGGTCAGGTACTTACCTCATTAGGTAATAAATATGGTTTGAATTATGACTGTGAAATTTAACATTTTTGCTCCCTTAGAAATTCTTGGATTTTCTTTTTTTTTTTGCGTTAATCATTTCATCTTTTTTATTTTAGATTACAGTTACAGGAGAGAAAACGTCTCATCCATCAAAGAAGAGTGATTTCAAGGATATGTGAGCTGCACGACAAGGTCGGCTCTGTTCTCCGATTTGAAAAATCACTTTCGTACACAGTTTGGATGGAAAATCACACACACACACACAGACACACACTGGGCTGAATGAAGCCAGTGTGTTGTCAGATCTAAATGAGAGCGTATCTGCTTCATCTCATTGACTTCGTCCTCTTCTCCTTATATAATATTTACACCGCGGTAAATTACATAACAATTCTTTCCAACTTTACACCAGTGAACGTGTCGAACCCTCGACTGGTTTCCTTATTCTCCGTCATTGACATGCATGTACAGCAGCTCAGAAATTCACGATATGGCCCTTTAAACTGCTACTAAAGTGTCATGATCATAGTAAAGATCTTACTACAGTTGGAAGAACGTGGTCCAACTAGGCCGCCATAATAGTGTTTGACTGTAAAATACACCAAATATATATATATATAGGTACATATTGGAAGACAATGTGTGAGTTTTCTGTTACTCATATATTACTCACATGAACTTGACTCTGAGGTGGGGGGTTGGAGTGTCTCATCAGCGGCAGAGCATCTGAACAGGAGGTTACGTAACAGGAGGCCGACTCACAGTAGAGATGTTGATGAGAAGCTGTGGATTTTCTCCCGTGGTTTAAAGATCGACGTGACAGTCTGGACCCAGGTGGTTTGGTCAGGTACTGAAAGAAGACAACGTTTAATTAGGACGCATTAAAATAATGACTTTTTCCAAATGTCATTTTCATCAAATCAGTTCACAATGACAGTTTGACTGTTCTCTAATCCACAAACACAAGGATTCAAACACAGCGTTGAAAAGGGCAGTGGAAACGACAGGGTTTGGTGGAAAGCGGTAAAAAAATGTAACAGTTGACTGTTCTGGTGCAGGCCATGACAGATAGAAGCCTTTAGGCCAAGGTCTGGGCTGCATTTGGTCTCATCCATCTTCATCTCCCAGCCCTGTCTCCTGTCACAGTTTTCTCTTCCGTGAGAGAAGGTTGTGACCTCTGTGTGTGTCTACAGGCCTCAGCTACATGACCTCGACTGTGGCTGTGGTTTTCCATCTTCTCCTGCTGTCCTCAAACATACAACATTCACTTAGGTTATTTAGTAAATGCTAAATGACATTAACACTTCAGGGTTGGAGTCAACAGAGTGGCCATTAACTTTTTTCATGCAATGCATCTCATTTCCTGTCAGCGTTGGTAGCTTTGGACGGAGTTTCTCCTCCTGTGTGTAGTTTGGCCGCAGAAATGATGGAGGACAGACGCTCCACTGGACGTCTCCTATTTCTCATCAGTGAGGAGTAGCGTGCAAGAGGAGGAGAAGGAGAAGGAGGACGGATGCTCTTACACTGCTAATAATAAAGCAGCAGGAGGGAGAGAGGGAGAGAGGGAGGAAAGAAGGGAGAGAGAGAGTCGGTGTTTGATGTTCACGCTCGTGATTCTTGTGAATGAAGAGATCACATCGTCTGAGCCGAGCCTCAGGCACCGACACATGGAGTTATATCATTCAATCAGACAGTGTGTGTGTTTTTTCCACTATAAGCGTGTGTGTGTGGTCATGGAGTTATATCATTCAATCAGACAGAGTGTGTGTTTTTCCACTATAAGTGTGTGTGTGTGTGCATGCATGCTGCACATGTGCTTCAGTCTTCTTCTGATGGGAAACGTACTCTCAGTACAATGTTCCTGCATTCATCAGTGTAGTTTTTATCTCTCGACTTTGTCTCTGATTATCATGATCAGCCGGCCGTGGTCAGCATTCGGCCCACAAGCCACCTACTCCAACCTGAACACATGAAAGGTGGTGTTTTGGGCTGTAATCTCTATGACAACGATGCTCTGATAGGCTGTAAATGAACATGTAAGACTAAACATTTCCCTGTCATCACAAATATTGTTTTATATTTGTTTTATATTCACAAAACACATTTGTGTTCTCTGCTTTTAACCCTTCAATGAAACAGCTTTTTGGTGCTTGATCAACACACCATCGTCTCAGACTGGGATTCAAACCAGCAACCCTCCCAACCTCAGCCTCATCTTCTGACCCATGGCCACAGGCTCAATCAACTGAGTTTAAACCTCTTTTAAAATCTCATATTTGATAACCATGTGACTCAGTCAGCTCATAATACTCGGTTAGAAATCACTGAGTCCATGCGACACCCGCAGCCTCACCATCACATATCCACACAGATTCTTGGCATAACTGCGGCCTTGGGAACACACACACACACACTCTCATACGGTCACCTCACAGCCGGCTCCTGTTCCAAACACATCCTCCATCTCCGTCACAACACGCCGGCTTCAATCAGCTCACATTTATTTCCCTCCCGTGCTTCTCAATGGGCCTTTATGGAGCATTTTCACATTTGCACAAGCGCCACCTTTGTCCAGCGCCGAGCCCGGTCTGGGAGAGTGAATGAAGAGGAGAGGATTTTTTTTTTTTTTTGCATTGCCTGGGCGTTTTCAATGGACATAATTCGGAGGACAGCAAACATCTCCCCCGCTGGTTTGTATATTATGTAAACCAGCTTGTTATTCGGGGGGTGGAGGGGGTCATAACTTTCTATAGTCAGACGTCTTTAATGTACTAAACAAAAGAGAAGTGAAAAGCTGTGTCAACCATCTACCTGTGAGCTAATGACGGCTGTTAGATTAAAGATTTAAATCAATATTGTGGTCACAGTGATTCACAGTAAACTTGAGGATAAAAATAGAAGAAGAAAAAAAAAAACCCCACCACTTCACTACTCTGTCAGACCCACCACAGTGAACGGCATCTCAGGTTACACACGTCCTTGAAAACGAGGAGACACTGGAGAAAAACCCTGCTGAGGCAGGAGCAGAGGTGAAAACACCCACAGGACAAAAGTGACTCATAAAAAGGTTGTTTTTTTTTAATGATATTTAAAATGCCACCCACAGCTTATTACCCCCTAGACAGGACTGGAGGGGAGGGGGAGAATTGAACTAGTGTCTCTTTAATCACAGGTAAATAATTACTCAGGTTTCATCGGTGTCTGACACTTCTGACAGCTTAAATCTATAAAAGATTAACTTTTTTCTTAGAGAAACATCCCACAGTATAACATTACACTTCATCAGAAACGTCAGTCTGATGTTATTACATCCCACAGTATAACATTACACTTCAGTCACGTCAGTCTGATGTTATAGACTTTTAGAAAAGTTCCTTGAAGGCAATATAAAGACTAAATTTAATGAAAGACAGTTAATTATTACAAAATAAGAAGAAAAGTTGTGTTTATTTCATTGATTATTTAGGTCAACTGTAAAATTTGTTTTGGACGTCAAAGACACATGGGACAGTGGCAGGAGAACAACGCTGATAAAGACCGACTGTTGGAGTTAATTAAAATCCAATTCCACACATAACTGGAATTGGTGAACAGACGGTGTCAGAGACTGGGCTTATGTAAGGACGCACCTGGAGTCTCTGAGGCATGTCAGAAATGGGATCAGACTCAGGAACGATTCTAACACACACACACACACACCTCCACCACACTCTGAGACACTGAGGTCTGTGTCACTACGGAGGCTCCAGTTATTAGTTAGTTAATTAGTTAGCTGTCCACGGGTTAACTGACTTACTGGACGGTGTTGAATCTCACTACATTAATGACAGTTATGATCATAAATCCATCAGTTTCCTGTCTGCCACTTGACAGACGTAAGGTCAAAATATACGTAAAAATACATTTTTGTTACATAACACATAGTAAGGTCAAAATATAGGTAAAAATACATTTTTGTTACATAACTAAGGTCAAAATATAGGTAAAAATACATAATACATATATATATATATATTTATTGTAAAATATAACCTGACAGACAGACACTAGACAGAAACTCCAGAGATACAAGAAATAAGTGGATTCTACTAATATCCCCCATTTAAATCAGATTACGACCACTGCTGCTCTTCCAACGCCTGCGAAGAACAGTTCACCAGGAGTACAGATTTTTGTAATTTATTGTTCCTGTTCTTTTCTTCTGGGCTGTATTCAAAGGTATTTCTCCAGGAGAACAACATCCTGCTCTGTGAGGCCGTGGTGAATCAACGATAATTCAATAACCGTGAACAGTCATCATAAATGTGGCTGCGAGTTGTTACACCACGGACAGTTCCCCACGCCATCCTGAGGTCACACCTATAGAAACAACCATCCACACCTCCGGTCAGTGAACACTGGACCTAACCCCAACCGCCCACAGTTGCTGTTTGGTTTCAAAGCCTCTTGTCGTTAGGCAAGTGCTTCAACCACGCATTTTCGCTCTCTCTTTGACCTCAAGCTCTATGCTCGAAGATTCCAGACTTCCAGAGAAACATTCCCACATGGAATATCTCACCGGTTATGTAGCTAACCAAAACGGACAATCCATTTTCAAGTCAAGTGTGTCTGTTTATTAAAAAGGCTTCAAACAGAACACAACGTCCTCTTCTTGTAAGGAGAAATATTCGAAGGATTTGACTCTTAAGGCTAAAACACAAACAAAACAAAACAAAAAATTCCTCTTGGTTTTGTCTAAACACACAGATCTGTTCTTAGACATGAACATAACTGCCTGCTTTCTGCATCTGCTGGGTATCAGTGCAGGTGTGTTAATCAATAACTTCCTGCCTCCTACAGAGATTCTAATACTCACAGTCACCCTTAGTTATTCACGCTGCTGTCCAAACATTCAGGGCTGCTACTGAACTCAAGCATAGTGACTGAAACTTTTTACTAATCTTACTAACTTTTACTTTTAGGTTACATACTTCTACTCGACCTATTTTCTTTTTTTACTGTATTTTATTTACTTTGAAAAATGTGAATCTTTATCGAATGTTTTTTCCTGTATTATTTTTGTGACATCACAAAACCTATGTCAGAATTCTAGTAACCACAGTATCAGCCTGAGGCAAAGAACAGATGAAATGATTCAATATTTGAATATCGCTGCAGTATTTAGTCCAGTTTTTAATTTTTGGTGCAGTGACCTCAAATGTAACAGGTTTTCATAATCTGAGAAATAGAATCTGTTTTCCTCATGACCCCCACCCGCACCCCCTCACTTCTCTCCTCTGCTCTGAAAAGCCAGTCCTCAAACCAAATTCTTGTCATTATGGCCCATATTTTCCCAACGATTACTGTCACTGCCCTCTTCCTTTCGGCCAATCATGGCATCACTTACACTGCCCATGATGACTGGGGGGGGTCAAGGTGGAGGTGATGGTTGTTCTCTCTCTCTCTCATCTCCATTCTCATATTTGACAGAAACACAGCCTCTCAGCTCACCTAACCCCTCTCATTTCTCCTCATTCTCTTGTACTTTTGTCTGTTCTCTCTCCCAGGTCCATCAGCTGCACAACAGGTCTATTCTCCTGCCAGTCCATCTCCCTGTTTAAACACTCACAAAGGCCATTAAGTGATTTAATGACGCACAGAGGAATGATTTCAAAGAGCAGCGTCAACTCGGAGAACATTAAATGTGTTTAACCACAGATTTAATGCAGTGAAATCTTTTTGTTGAAAATATCAGCTTGAGCTGAAGGTAAACTGCAGTACTACTTTATAAAAAATTTAAAAAAGGATCAGATTAGATGAAACGTGTGCAGCCACTGGAGTAAAACTAAGTATTTTATTAGAGCTCACGTGGACAACACACAAACGCTTGAAAATATAAATTTTCAGCCCACCATTATACGTGTGTTGTCCTCAAAATGACGTCATGGAATCTGTGGTTACTGCGCATGTATCACCGAGGCCTTTAGCGGCGTCCTGTCTGAGTGAATCCATATCTTAAAGACGGCATTTGTTCCTAAAAAAAGAAATAGAATAAGTATAACAAGTCGATAAATCTTACATCCTAGCTAGCTCAAGTAGCACAACGCCATTACTAAAAGCAACTACGCCAAACGCAATGCAGCCACTGCTGCGACATGATGCACATAAAAAAAAAAAATCAATACTACAATTACAATATCATTTAAACGAAACATACATTTTACTCACCAAAAAAAATTCAGTCGTAGAAAAACCTTTCCTTACGAGGAGTTAAATTACTCCGTTGAACCGACAGTCCGTGTTCTAGTTTTAACAAGTTCTGTTTCCACTCCTAACGGTGAAAGTCTTTTCCGTCGTATTTAAGGTTTAATGGCTTTTAGCGGAGAAAGCCCACTCGACTGAAGCAGTGGACGTAGTGAAAATGTAATTCTTTAAGTCTAATTGTAGTTAGGTAAATTAGAGAAAGTGCGTTCTTTGACAATCCGATCGAATCACTCAAACAGTCGTCCTTCAACAACAATTACAAATACCTTAAATATAAGAACAAACAAAACGACGAGACTTCTGGCGGAAGTGAGGAACGGAAACCATAGCAACAGTCAGCGGTTGCTACAAAAACGCTCGTACTGCTACATTAATTTAAATTACATATTTATAAAAGACACCACAGTTTAACATGGTGATACATACGGTAGGTGATATATTAATGCACTCCTATAAACACATGCAGCTTGAAGATGGAGAAAACAATTATACAGCAATAAACATTTGTCAAAAAATAAAATAAAACTTACTCTAACCCTGTATAGAAACCAAATTGTCAGATCAACCAAAAATTCTTTGACCCCTTTGCAGTACCTCAGTGGGAATGATCTGTATAAATAAATATTTTTTCACTATACACCACGGCATATGACAACATAATGTTAATGTGGCGAGGGGGGTGAAAAGTTACGTGACTATTATTAAGGAGGGAAAACTGAATTTCACCCAGGGAATTGCTCAAACACAAGGCACAAAGGTTTGTGGTTACTGGAGGGCAAGAGACGTGGTTCAAAGTTTGAAAATACAAATTTTATTCAACATTTGTTTTTAAAAAGTATACTCCGTAAAAGTCATTGATATAAAATAAAAGAGAAACCTAATCAGGGCTGAGGCCGAAGTGGATGGGCAAGGGCTAGTGCAGGGGCAGAATCCACCAAAATAAGGAGAAAAATAATAACTTAAATCACCAGGCACACGCAGCAAACACACCCTCAGTGAAGAAACCCACTC